CTCTACCCCCACCAGCCGACCATCTACCACTACCGCCCCGACTCCCTTCCATTCCGTGGTACAGTTTGAACGGTGAGAAGCGATGGGGACGAGTAGCGTTTGTAACGATTGTTTGAATGGGCTTCGATGATTCATTCAATGGAGATATCGAAGGGTTGGTAGACTTGTGTTACTGATGGCAAATTTGGAATTGTTTATGGTGTGTGTCGTTATCTGTAAATGTTCAAATCTTTAGCGACTTCTTTTCTTTCGGGAATCTTTGGCTAATGTTTTGAGGGGAACCGTCAGTATCGGGATGTAAAGATAAAGATTGTTATAGTTACAGAATGCTGATGAAAATCTTGGAAAAGGAATGGAATTGTTTTTTCAACGCTTTTCTGTGGTAGAAACAATATTGGTAGGGAAGTGTTTGACACTGAAAGGGTTAGTAGGTTTGCTACAACTTGTTTCGGTGACGATGTTCTTGGTTGCAGTATTTTATTCAATTCAAGAAATGCTGAGAAAATGAAAGTATAAAGAGTTGTTAAGCTATTAAATACAATATCATATTTTGCAACCTGAAATTACGATATCTGTAGCGTTCACCTGTTAAAGTAACTTTAGATATTTATGTTTATAATGTACCCAGTGTAATTATAAGCAATTTTTTGAAAGGTGTTCAAATTCAAGATTAATCGGAGAGTACGTGAATGTCCTTTTGTTTTATTGGTTATTTATTAAGAACTTGAAACTGAAACAATTATTGAAGAACTACACTGAAACAATTATTCATTATACAAATTTTCGTTAAGTTTTCATTTTATTAATCGAACTTTCATGGAAGTAGTGCGTACCATACAATTTGAAAGTTGATGTAATAATTATAACATTGGAAGCACTTTTCAGTGATAAATATTTATTTCGATTAATTTTCGAACACTAAGAATATGAGGAACATAAGATATTAACTCCTTCAGAATTTTCATGACATAATAAATATTTCCAATACCACAGAAAAAGCACCAGTTCTCTAATTTCAATGACCTTGAAATACACCGTGAAGGTCAACATACTAAATAACTTTCTAAATAAAGGTATAATATAATGTTATATTATAATTATAATTAAATATAATCTTACACATAAAATATTCCACATAAAAGAATTTTTACTAATATTCTTACACCCTTCACATTAAACTAATGAAAAAGATTCAAGCATTCTCCAATTTTCAATGCCAAACACTCATATCAAATAATTTGAAGAAACTAAGAATAAAAATATAATTTTCATACGTTACTAAAAATTCTCTTAAACCAAAATCAAACAATACCTCCACCAAAGTGATGGAACATCTAAGTACACGAAATTAAAGAAATATTATCACGAAACTATAATAAAATTTCTTTCGAGCAATTACAAATGGACAATCATACTTCAATCAGCAATACAATATTGATTAATATTCCTTAGAAGAAGTTTGCCACACAGTCTGATCAATCCCATCGCTAGCGCCCTTCGTAACAGCCCCACCGAATGATACGCCGCTGATCCCGTGCCACGCTTCCCCTTCCTAGGCCAATAAAACCCGGTGGTGTACAATCAGGAAAGGTACCCGGTACCCAAAGAAATTCTCTATTTATTTGGAACAGTAAAATCCCACGAACCATCGATCCCAAGATCGCACGAAGAGTCCACCAACCCCTCATCATCATCATCAAGGTACCCCAGTCCTCCCCCAATCAAAGTGACTTATTTTCAATATTTTACAAAAATCATAACAATATATTTCTTGAGATTCAGCAGGTTTTCTAGTCTTGTATCTATACAGATACACAAATTTCATTGGAAACCTTCTGCAAAAACGCCTTCATAATTCAGATACTTTCAAGATTAAAATTCCGAGGTGGGTTTATTCGTTTGTTTAATCCGTCCGGTAGTTCTAGTGTTAAATACTCTTCGACCTGAAACATTGGCTATAATAATTTTGACGTTTCTTGTATATAGTTGACAGACAACATTGTTGCGTTTAAAACAAATAACATCTGTTTTCAAACTATCATAACATGTATAAAAGACTTTTCACTAAGTTTCGA